TCTGTATGGCTTTCTCCTTTGAAAGAAACTTAATCAAATCACATCATTAACTATAATCATTTGTAAACAGTGTTGTATTTTATAATGAAGCATGCACTTTATTTGGTTTTAAGGATAACAGAGAAAGGGAATCAAATATTCATCAGCGTATTGAAAAGAAATGGCTTGGCAGCATTAAAATTCCCTTCTCCACAGTCTACTTTAATAATAAGGTAACAATCAACTTTTTTTAAAAATAATTTTTTTTTTATTTATTATTATTTTTAAAGAATAAATGCATGAGTTGTTTTTTTTAATGAACTGTTGTGTAATGTGCAACTATTTCATGAATTATTTCAAGTTTGAGTGAGATGGTTGAAGTATAGTAATGTAGTAGATCATCAGTGTAAAGCAATTTTCTTCATACATTCTCCTATAATCTTCCATTAGATTGATGGTACCTTCAGGCTGAACACACCATCCATCTTGCTGGGCTACACATATGACCAGTCACAAGGCCAGCCCGGTATGACTGAGCTGGACAACAACCTGGCAAAGAGGAACACATTCCTGACCATGTATGTGACCCTGGAGCCATCACTTACATTACCTGACCCATTTAAGGAAAAGGTAGGCCAGCTAGAGTTTGCTTACAGCTTTACTATATATAATACAGTGACCCATATGTTAGTGTAAAGAAAAAAGTCAGTTTGTAGTTAGGGGTTGAGAGAGGCAGCCACATCTTTCTGATCCAAATGTTAAAAAAATCTGATTACGGGTACTGGAGTGTTGCAGTGGAAGGATGATCCAGACAATGATGACAGTGGTTGCCAGGTTGTTTTCAGTACCCAGTAACGCGATAAAACAAGGCAATTCAGTACTACGAGATTCTTTAAGCGAGTATTAAAGCTGTTGCTATAAAATAAAATTTAAAAACTTACTGATAAAATAAAATTTAAAAACTTACTGAACAGTTGTGGTTCTCTTCCTTCTGTTAGTTCACTTTGGCTATGAGACAGAAAATGAAACAAAACTCATAATAAACTAGTTTTGATGCATTCAGTGTTATGAGCCATGCAGTCAACTCTCTCATAGTCTGTTTAGATTATGAAATAAAATTTTTCCTGATGATTGTGTCTAGATATTTTTATTACAGTTTTATTTTTAAAAAGAGAAAGGTGAACGTCATAAAAAATTCAATTAGAGTAAGAAAATATTTATTTCAAAATATTTTAAACAGTTTGTTTTTATTATTGTTAATGTTTATATTTTTTGCTCATGTTCAAATAATCAGAGAGTGGTAAGTGCTAGTGTAAGACATAGATGAATCACACATTGATTTTGTCATTTTTTTTTTTTTTTTTTTTAATTTTCTTTTATTTTTTTTTTTTTTTTTAAATAGCGCAAAACATTATTTTAAAAAAAAAAAAAAATGGTTTAAGGTGTTTTTTAAAAAAAATATTAGTGTACATCGAAACAAAATTAGCTTGCATCATTTTTTATTTTTTATTTAGACTCTTTCTTCTGTGCTGTCTGTACTTTCTTAGGCTCTCTCTATTCTTACCTCACTCCTCCCCCTCTTGATCACTCTCCTTGTTGTCATTCACTACAAGCTTTTTATGTTAGTAGCTTTTTTTATTTTATTTATTTAGGTAGCGTGCTCATTAGTTCTATTTCTGTGTGGTTCCAAATGCGTTGAAAGCACACAATTGTTCTAGGCTCTTTGGGTACAATCACATCCCTTACTTTATTGCTGTTTATTTAGTAAAAAAATTAAAACACTTATAGAACTATTGAAATTTTCATCAATGAAATGACTAAATAAAATAGTCTGTATTACTTTTATTCATTAAAATGTATTTAGTTTAGTATTAGTTGCTGCTAATTCTATTCATAAGCATGATTTGGAATGTTTTTTAAAGTTTGTGTAGACAATTGAATTTGACAAAAATTAACGATTTTTCAGTTGTCAACAAATGAAGAGGAGGAACTGATTCAATATGCAGACAGATGGCAGGAGAACCTAGAACGAAGATTCCCCAGTCGTATTTTCAAAACAACAGTCATGGACACAACTGGGAGAAATGTTTTTGTGACTCGGTTTTTCAAATCAATAAAACCACCGCCAGAAGTAGAGGCTTGTACTGATCCAGAACGGGCAATGGTAACACTCAAGTTTAATTATATCTGATACTACCCTGTATTGTGCAAAATATAGTCTATCTATGATTTTCAAAGTTTGATTCATTTTTTACAAAGTAAATCACAGTCGGCAAGACACAGGACTAAAATAGTAAAATGCAAAAAATTACCCACCAGCACAATAAGTTTAAATTTTAATGGTGACTCCGATTTATACCCTTAATTACCATTATCTCATGTTAAACGTTTTCTGTAAAACACTTTCCAATTTAGGAATTGGCAGCACGCTATGTTTCTCTGATTCCATTTGTGGCTGATACAGCCTTATTCCCCGGTCAATGTGATATTTGGAGCACGTGCAATGTGAGTTATGTAGTAAATGTTTCACATTCAATATATAAGTAGAATGCAAATGTAACCGATTATGATGCACCACAGATCATTCACTCTAACTTTATTTTTTACAATCCTTAAAAGAGCTTTTAATTTATAATTTAATTACTTCAGATTCAGGCAATAAAAATATTTTTTAAATTGCTTTTATAAAGACTGTATGAAGATTCCACAAGTTACTGATGGTATTCTTTCTAATGTGTATCATGTCAAGTGTCTTTCATTGTGAAAAATGAACACAAAAATATTTATCAAAAGTAAATGCTGACAAATAAGCATTGGTGTATTAATTTTTAGAAGGTTTAATTTTTTTTAACCTATCCAGCAATTCATGAAGATGTTATGTGGTGATGAAGAAGAACATGCTGTGCTGCTCACCAACTACTTCTTAGGGTTGGGCAAACGTGCCTGGCTCATGTTAGGTATGCAAAGTGTACCAAAAAATGTTTGTAATAAGCATTGAAAATGTTTGCAACGGCCTCCTAATATGGTTTTTAATGAGTGCCCATATAATTTGTAAAGTGAGTTTTTCAGTACCGTACACTATATATTGTTAGGCAACTATATTTGAGGTTGTTCATTGCTCTTATGAGTTTATTTTTTCTTGCAGTTGATAGTTGGTTTTATTTATAGTTCAACTAATTTGGTTCAATTTAAAATTCCAAACTAGAGATAATTTAATTTTGTTTCCCAGGAAATGCAATTCCAGAAGGCAGGACCGCCTATGTCCTAACAGAGGACAAGGACAAATTCTTTGTTTGGAATGCAAGATCAGGTGAAAAGTTCAGTGTTTACGACAACTATTGCCCAATCCATGTGGTGGGGTGTGTCATAAATGCTGAAAATGTAAGTAAAGATTTAACTATCTTTGTAAAGGTAACATGACTTTGAAATAATCATGACCTTAAAAGTATTGTTAGGAAATCAGCTTTAAAAAGAAAATAGTGTATCAAATGACTTGTTTACTGTTACAAAAATGATTTAATTATCAGGGTTTTTTATTTATAATAAAATGACATAGTATTTATATTGAAATATGGTTAGCAAAAAAAAAAAAAATACTTAATGAACTTAATAGTTAAAAATCTAGGTTTCTTTTTAGTTGTCTTTTGTTTTAGTTTGATGAAAGAGGGTTTCTTTATAAAATATAGTTTGATTAAATGAATCCGTTTTTATCTTTCTTGACACAATCTTTAGATCTGGGCAAACATTCAGCAATATGAAAAACCAACCCAATTGAATTTTAACCTAAACAACACCAAGAACTGGCAACCTTTCTACAGCAAGTCTTTCTTAAGTAGGGGATTAGCATCAGTCCAGGTAAATTATTCTGCATTATTCTGTACCTCCTATGGCCCATCCATGTCAGGTTCATCAGCCACCAACTGTGTTAAAGTTATAATCCGTTTAAGGAAGTTTATTTACTATATTAAATTTTATGTCAGCCAAAAGGTAACAAAGCAAGAGAAAAAGCGGAAACCTTGGAGGAGCTCCAATGTCAAACATTAACGAAATAGATTTTCACCACATTTGGCATTACATAAGTTGTCTATCGCAAGCCAACTAGAAAGTTATAGAACCTCCCTCATCACCCTTAATCCCTAAAATATCTTTAATTTGGCTTTGTCATGTGGTCCAGTGCTTTCCCAAACTTTTGTTGTGTGACCCACAGGCAGGACGTTATCCACACTGTAGCCGGGAATTTGCCAAATCTACTATTGTCCCTTTTATCTTCTTTAAATTTTCTATTTTTGCAATCAAATGACAGAGAGTTGGTGGATGGGTGCCAGCAGTCCACCGGTGGGAGAAACCCTGATTCAAACTAACAGAGTAAACTGGAGAAGTTGCTAAGAGCGGTGCTCTCAGAGCTCCGCTAGTTTTTCTATACAAGTTTGCATCCTCTCCTTTTTTTGTTTGTTATAAAAACGCTGTCTTTAATTCTTGGATATTTTTTTTTTTCACTTCTTTAAAACAGATTTTTGAGCAGATTCAGTTTTAATTTGCTTTCTTCTGTTCCTCTCTTAGCCAAATGAATTAAACTATCGCAGAAAAGATAAAAAGTTTGACAACTTGGTGACTGAGCTTCAGGAGAAAATTGAGCAACTTCTAAAGAACAAGATCATGGAGTGGAGAAGCCGTTACATCACTAGGTGGAACAGACATTGCACGCAGATCATGAGGAAACTTTTGCCAAAGTAAACATTGTCAGCAGAGTGAATGAGAGAAAACTTTGGTTTTAGCAGATCAAATGTACTAGTTTCACCTTATTGTGGTGGTGCATCTTGCACATGAAATATAAAAGTTTTACTCCCCCCTCCCCAAATTAATTCTTGCAATTGTTTAACTGGAAAATATTAAAATTCTTTTCTTCAGCTAAAATGATATTTCTTTAGAAATTGCAAAATTTATCCTTACAATTAAATCGTAACATTCAAGAATTATCTCACCTTCTTTTAACAAAAAAATAAACAACAAGGGGTAAAATTTTAAATGCTTGTTAATTTATTTTTTGTTTTTTGAAAGGTGGAAGGGCTCTGTTAAATAGTGATTGACAACATTGTCATTTATTAAATGAATATAAATTAAAATGATAAGTTGTGATATTAAGTTATCAAAATAATTCAACAGCATTTTTTAGCAATTATAAGAACTGGCCAGTAGTTACATGTATCATATTTCATGTCACTTTCCCTCAACAGGCTAGAAGAAAACTGTGGAAAGCCAATTGATGAATCCAATTTAAGAGATCTTGAAGACTCATTCAAATCATACAAGGTAAACAATACTTTAAAATGCTCTTTACAAAAATTGTAAAACCAGAGCTTATTTCTGAATGTGTTTTGAATTTTTATGTCCACAATTTTTAAGATTGTCTCGGTAGTCCTAAACCAAACTTTATTTTTAAAGAAACAATTTTGAAGTATTCGAGGTATAAATATAATCTTGATACCATTTTTTTTTCCACTCTCAATATTATCTTTTGTCTTTTACAGGTTTCAGGATTTCCACTCAACATCCCTTACACAGACATGGACAGCATCACAGAAACAGTTTTCTCTACAGGTGTGCATGCCCAGGAGACAAGTGATGTGGAATTTGCATTGGCTGTCTACGTACATGGCTACACCAATAATGTTATGTCCATATGGATTTATGTAGCATCTCTCATACGACTAAGGTAGAGAGTATTCTAACTCGAAATGGTCATGTTTGATTTTTTAAACTGAATAATAAGCACAGGAATCAACAGAGAGGTGAAGATGCTTCACTTGAAGAGAACATGAAAAGTAACTTTTGGGTCCAGTTTTTTTTTTTTCTTCTTTATTTTGACAGTGCTCTATGTATCAATTATTGCATTTATAATTGAAATGCTTCAAGAATATAATTTAAACAAATGGAGGTATTTTTGCTGACTTATACTTGACATATTTATTTGTGTCATTGATACTGTTGATAGGCAATTAGTCAGTCTTATGTTAAAGCTCTTAATTTTTCTTTGTAAAAGGTATAAGAGCATGGTCATTTCCGTCCATGTAACCTAATTTTTATTTAAAGGTTCACACGATTATATTGTTCATCTTTTTTATTTTGGAGTACCCATTTAATATATAATAATTTTTTTTAATAGCTTCATTGCAACAATGTTGATGAAAAAAATATTATGAAATAAACTTCACTTATGAAGCAATATACAAAATATAAAACTATACACTTCATCAAACAAAATTACTATTCTTCACGTAAGATATCAGGAAGCTAAATGCATTAAAAAATATATTATTACAGAAGAGGAATATGCATAACATGCTGTACAGCCAGGCCTAATCAAGTTTTATTTTGTGAATATGTTGTAAAGGGCTTGATTGTGAGCTGCCAGATTTAATACAATATTAGTTTCTTTATTGTATTTAACTTAAATGTTTTGTAGAAATGTGTTCTTTGGTTTTATATGAAAAATGACGTCAAACTTAGTTCTAGTAAATTTCTTAAGCAAATTTCTATGTTCAGATAACTTAAATAGTACAAATTATTAAATATTTGTTTACATTACAGGAATTAAAAAATATATTATTTGTTTTAGATGCAAATGACCTCAAACTTAGTGCTACATGTACATTTAGTAAATCTCTTAAGCCAATTTCTATGTTCAGATAACTTAAATTAGTAATAGTAAAAGTTATTAAACATTCATTTACATTACAGGATTATGTAATGTCTAGGAATTATTATAATTTCTTAGTATTTAAGATGAGGATGAAATCTATTATATAAGATACCAGCTGTGATAACTTGTTGGATGGGTCTAAACTATTATTTTTTCTACATTTCAATAAATATGTATTTAATAAAAATTTAATAATTTTGGTATTATATATTATTTGTAAATTTGTAAATTTAATTTACTTTTTTAAAACTTTAAAAATGGTAACAGTTGGCAATCCACATTGTTTACAATGAGCAACAATAACAAGCAAACATAAGAATCTAATTTTGTAATTTTTATGATCAATTAAATTTAAAAATTACAAAACCTACATCATTTTTAAATGCATTAACTCATTCCCTCAGGCAGTGCTACTTCCGGACTTAATTTATTTTCCTGAGAAAAGGAAAGCAACTCAGTTTTGAAATTGATTTACATTTTTTTTAAATTTTTTTAAGTTGCTAAATATTATTTAATGTTAATAAATTAAGAAAAAATGCAACAAAAAATGAATAGGGATTAATATAAATATAACATAAGCGGGGAAAAAATAACGAACAATGGCCAAAAAAAACGATTTTCTGCACCTCTGACGAACACATGCTACATATTGATGCGCCGTACTAAAGCACACGTAGTTTAAAAGTGAAACAAGATAAAAACTTCCGGTTTCTAAATTAAAATCACGCAGAAATCACGCCATAGCAGGAATTCTCGAGGGACGCGAGATTTCATTGCTATTTTTAACTAAAAATAAGAGGTGTGTCGCTATGCGCCGGGACGCATTTGGACGCATCAGGAGGAACCCCCCAGAGGACGCATTTAGTCGCAACCATCGGGGATGAGTTAACATTTCACATGTTCACAAACATTCTTTCACAGAAACAATCGTTTATAAGATAAAGTATTTCAAACCCTCACAGATGATAAGAAAAAGCATTTCGAAAATGTCACAAACAAGATTTAATTAAGTCAGTTATTGCATTTACTGTAGCTGGTGTTGTGTCTTTGAGAGCCAGTGTCAGGGATGTCACTATTGTTTTAGCCATCACATGTGTTATTGGCTGAAAATTGCATCTTAAAAAATCAAAAGCAAGATCAAAATAGATACATTTAATAAATTTAATAATAAATTTAATGCAAAATAATAGACTTAAGTGTTTTCTCCACCCTTTTCTACACCCCTCCCATACATTGCACAAGTAGGAAAATTAGGTTTAATATTTTTGGAGCCTTTTAAAAAAGGCTAGAGCAGGGATGCCACAATATCGCACAGAAAGCCATTGTTCTGCCATTATTATGGGTTTTTTTCCTTAACTAGGACCTAGAAATTAGTTTGAATTGCAATGTTGGTACTTATTTACAATTTATGTTGAATAAATAAGTGGATTTTGGGCTGCAGTGTGGGTACTTGGTCACTAAAAGGTTTGCCATCTCTCTCTGTGCCAGAGCATCTTAGTTTACCTAAACTCATCAGAAACAAGAAATTGCATCATTACCTCATCTTTGCCCAAAAGAACTTTTGTAGGAAAATAAAGAAACATTTTCCTGGTACTCCTCTGTCACAGTATCTCTTGTCACTTGAATCTGAAAATTATACATGTTATGGTTTAAATTTTGCTTGATGTATTGGTAAGTTACTCTGGTTTTCAATGTGTTATTTTAATTTTACTAACGCTTTAAATTTGAATTGAAACTTCATTCTAATTAATGTTCCAATCTATTATTCAAAATACTTTTAAAATGCTTTATAAAAATGATACTGTGTAATTAAAAACATTAATGGTTACAGCTTTTAAATAACATTTTTTTTTAAAACTACAAAAACAAATCTCAAAAATATTGCAGGAACACATTGTTAAAAAGATAAATTCGTTAACAATGGAAAAGAAGAATTAAAGCAGAACTGGATAATCCAATTTAATCTTTCAACCCACTGAAAAATGGTAACTGTAAATGTGTTCCAGCCCTTGAGCTATTGAATCCTTTTCATGCAGTCCTGACATGAAGCCACTGGAGTAAAAGTGATTTTCTTCTAAAACAGGTCAAGATAAAACAATCATTATTTCAACTGGGCTAAATATTATTATGAAAATTATGATTAAACACAATTTTTGCTGCCTTATTAATTGATAATTATCTTTAAATTAGATGAGTGGCCAACTTACTACTGTCCCAAGTTTCATGAACTGTGTTGCAATAATAAACAGATGATCCTCAAATTTATTTACAACAACCTCTGTGTGATAACCAGAAACATCAAAAGTAGTCGGAAAAGAAACATAAATGCTTAAAAATCTAAATCCTACATATTTTAATGACAAATCTTATTTATATGCTATACTATATGAACATTGATATTGAGAAGGATAAATTAAATTTAGAATAATTTTAATGAGTTGGCAACACTGGATGCCATATTGATGCAATGCCTGACATTGTTTTGCCAGTAGGCTATTATTAATTAAATCAATCAAGTCTATAGTCTATAAATATATGATGAAAACTATACTGTAGCAGCAGTAAAAAAAACTGACACCTGCAACTTTGGAATGAGTAAATGCATCTCTTTTCATTACTTTATTTTTAAATATTTAATTAGGCCTATATAATACTATAAGGCATGCTACTCCTAAATAAATAAATAGTCTTATTTGATTTAGTGTAGGCCTAATCAGAAGAAATTATTATTGCCCCAAATGCTTGCAGTATAGGTTATAGTCCATACTTAAAGTAGTAGTAATGGGCCTGTCATTCATCAATATTACTAATTTAGTGAAACAACATAAGTATCATATATTATAATTTAGTGTAATTATTTTTTATTTTATAATTTCTTTGTGTACCTGTACTGTTTGTCACACTTTCTTTGTTGTGATTTTGTTGAGGTGTTTGATTTGGTCTGGGGTTGGTTGCAAAGTAACGTATTATAAACAAAAGGTAATCTACCACTTTAATGTTGGTTATTAAAAAATTGTGTTGTTCCTGTTTGAAGTGCTATTTAAAGTATTCTTTTATTGATGTAATAGGACAATGGAAAGAGGGCCATTGTTTTCTTGTTGAAGTGCCAGACAGATGTGCAATTTTGCTACATGAGTACATAGAGTTAATGAGCTCACTTTTTCTGATAGGTGGGCGGATTATCATAAATTAAATAATGGTAATGATAATCATTGATAATACTGTTTGTATAAACTACCAGATCAGAGACATGGTCTCTACATACACGCAGTTTTCTAATCAAATGACGCTGGTGTCCACACAAAGAATTTTGAAAATATATGGATGCGTGAAAATTGATTAACAGTTTGGCACAAGCATCGATCTTTTCCCATCATATTTATTATTTATATAAATATACTATAGTATATAGTATAGCATAATTAATATTTGAACTTGAGATGCATGAGTTCATGTTCGTTTTCGGGGAGATGATATAAACTGTTTTCTTTTCATTAAGTATTAAGATAAATAATTACCCATTAAATTTGGAGAATTATATATGAGACCTGAGAGGGAAATGGGTGAGTGCCGTGTTTCAATAAAAATTTAAAAATTGTCATACTCATACTTGCTTAGATGGAACAATTGACGATCTTAAAGTAATAGCAGCCGCCATGTCTAAACAAATAATAATCAAAACACAACATTTTTAGTCGTAACAAAACAAATAAAGTATCATAGAGCGCTATTACATTTATAAATCATATATTTAAATTTTATAACTTGTATAATAAAATTTCATTTTTAATTAAAATCTATTGTATTATTTGGGGGAAATGTATAATGATGTTTAATAAAATTAAATTATGCATTCATTAAACTTAAATTGATTTTTTTTTTTTTTTAAAGGGAAGGTACTCTAAGGGAAGACAAATCCAAAGTTCCCATCAATGCAATAATTCCAGCTGTTCATTGAAAATACTGAATTGTTTTTTTTTTTAGGCTTACTTTTTTATTTATTTATTAATCTTAAAAATGTCTTTAGCGCTCGATATTCGGTAAAAGTGCAGTTCAGGTGCGTATATTATTTCTTAGCGCATTTCGTATTTTATCATGTAAACTTACGTGTATTCTTTATTAATTAAATCCAGGCAGTTATAGTTAATTAATCCTGACTAATACAGCACTTTTTTTCTTTTTTCTTTGATTTCTAAATCGTCTTTACACCCCAAACCAAAGACGCATAGCCCCATTTGCTTTGTTTTTTTTTTCCCACCCTATGGCCAGATTTTTAATCACCTATAGTATGCTAAACGAAATTTTCAAACTGTAGGCATGTTCACCGAAAAATAAAGAAATACTGGAGAAAGGAAAGAGGGGGG